CAATCAATCAATCAATCAATCAATCAATCTAAAAAGCTGGGATTTTAAAGCATTACATTCAGTGTAATTTAACCCCAGATTTTGAGACCTAATTCTTGGTCAATGCTGACCAAACATGCTTGTAAGATGGTATGGCTATTAAACAGAGGTCTCATTCTGTTAGCGCCCTCAGAAATGAAGTTCCTTTTGGTTATGGCATAAGAAGTGGCTCTTTACAGTTTGCTTAATAGCAATAATCTGGTTGTTTCATTGCAACAATGCCTATCCAAAAAAATGCAATATTCAAAATGTGTGGCTATAAATCCTCTGAAATTGGGAATAATACCCTGTATAAATAGCAGTCTTTGATAGGTTTAATCTCCATTTGTCCATTTTCCCTTTTAAAACCATTTAGGCTGATGATTGTCACTACATTTTTTTCATTTCAAAATCCATAATTTAATTATATGCTGTGTAAAATACTGTCCTTACTGTTCTGAATCTTCCAGTATTTAGCCATGTTGGTGAACCCTAGCATCTGGTATTATGAAAAAGGGTGAAATGTTTCTCTCAACATTGTTTTTTTCACCCAGATAATTGTATGCATCTCTGTTGTATCTTCTGTTAGTGGCCCTTATTGTAACTTCCTCACATTGAGGAGTTTTTTGAGTCCCTAGATTGTTTTGGTTATATATTCACATTCTTTACAGCTGTTCAGTTATTTTTTTTATTTTTTTTAGATGGAGTAACTAGAACTGTAAATAATACTCTTAAGTTTGGTCACATTATAGATTGATGTTGATAATATAACATTTGATTCTTTTCATTATGTTCCCCTACATGGAATTTGTCTTCTTTTTACGACAGCTGTACACTAAGTCAGTGGTTTCCTTAACCTATCCACAATAAAGCCAAGTATCCTTAGTTAGTCACTGTGTTCTTCTTTTATTTTCAGTTGCTGGCTGCAGCTGAGAATTCAGAATGGGAGACAAGCCTATTTGGGAACAGATTGGTTCCAGCTTTGTACAGCACTACTATCAGTTATTTGATACAGACAGGACTCAGTTAGGAGCAATATATGTAAGTAACTCTGAAACAGATGTTTTTATTGTGGACCGTTACTCATTTACCTCTACCTTCCCCTGGGGTCAAAAATGCTGGCACTCTGATAATGTTGTTTAGGAGTGTCTTATGGTTAATTTAATCTCAAGAAGCATAATTGTAATCACTCTTTTACACTAATACGTTGCCTATATTATCTAAAATGTTGTCTTGAGTCAGTTTGGACTCTTGGTAACTATGTGAGGTAATTTAATTATCTTAGCAACAGTACAGATGTGGCTCATCATTGCTTCTTCTTCTTTTTTTTTCTTTTTCCTTTTACCTCCAAATCTGGCCTATATTCCTGAGATCTTCTTCCAAATACTAAACAAATCCAATCCTGCTTGGCTTTTCATGGTAGCCAAGGTTGGCTAAGTACTCCCACCTGTCAGGACTATCATTTATAGGCTTCTTCTAAAATAAAAGATATCCTCTAGTCAGATCTTTGTCCTCTAAATGACTTATGAAAAAGGAGAAAGAATCAAGATGTGCAGCCTCATCAGTTTCACCATGCAGTATGCTTGAATATTTATAAACCTTTTGGCTATATGTAACTTTTATATTAGTAGCACTAGAATATTTATTCTTTCATTCAATTTATGTGGCCACCCCTCTTAAACTAGTGACTCTGGATAGGTAACAACAATGAGAAACTACAAAAAACACAAAATAAATAATTTATCTTCCAAATAAAATATTACAGGTGAAATAAGCACACCTAGAAATTAACTCATTTCACAGAATAAACTTGGTTAGGAGAAAAGATTGCTTCCCTAGAGAAAATGAAGTCAGCTCCCGAAGCATTTATGTCAAGCTTTGTGGATTACCGGGTGTTCAGTTATTATTTACAAACTATGAAAAAGGTGGATCCAAACACATCAATATATTTAAAAAGCTTTATCACAATTGGGAAATTTGGGCCAAATTTCAGGCTTCTGAGAATGAAATGCATGCTTGGACAAATATTTGAAAAGCCTTTTCTAAGGTTTGTGCCAAGGATGGAAGGAATAAACTAGAACCGCAGTATAAATCCTTCAGAGTAAATAATTAAGAATGTGGCATCTTTGTCTCAAAATCATAGAAGCTCTTAGCTTTATAAATTTTACCAGGATGACCCTTAACATATCAAAGTCTAACGCAGAGTAGACAGAGATATTCAGGGTCTGGAATAGAAATGTAAATTGTTTTGAGTAGGACAGCTTACTCCATATTGAAGTATCAGATAGATTCTTCTGGAATTTATTTTTGCATCAGCGTGATAAAGGCAGCTGTGGTCAGGAGTTTCTTTGTCACACTGTGGGCTAGAAAGTACTTCCAGTGCTACTTGTTCTTTTTATCCAGAGACTCAGACACATAGAAACAGATGCAGGTTTATAGCTTTTACTATTCATTTTCTGAACTTAAAGCTCATGTACATGTTCACACACCTGTGCATATCCACCCATCTTAGAGTCTAGCTGGCTAGTCCAGATCTGAGTTTCAGAAGAATAGAGGCAGGACACCCATCATGCATGGTACCTTGTTTTGTGTAATGGCTATAAAAGACCAGAATTCCCATGCAGTTGTATACATTGTAGGACAAGATCTGTTTTAGTTAGTGGCAGATATTGGTGATCTTTTCATGGGATTATTTGACAACAGTTCGGTAACACTGCACTGATTACCAATCTGCCGTCAGGCACATTCAAAGTTTGGTAGTGATTTCCTTCAAAGCTGTTAATGGCCTTAAGGTAAAGGTTAACTTAGGATAACTTATCCCCTCTTTTCAACATCATCTTGAAGTGTTCCTATGATGAGAAAGAGAGGCCCTTCTGAATTAGGGCCATCATATCTAGGCTGCAAAAACCCAGACCAGCATGAGATGGCAGGAAGGAGACATAGAAAACTCTTTGCTGTCATCTGGAGTTTTGTAGCCCTGTTCTGAAACTCACCTAGGGTGGAGAAGGATTTGTGCAGGATAGAAGGGTGGAACTTGTCAACTGACATTCAGAAGCCCCACCCCCTTGATCAGGAGCTCTGGGGGTTTATTTATTTATTTATTTTTAATAAGTAGGTTATAACTATTGCTATTTCTAGCATACAAAATAACATGTCTCTTTCATAAGCAGATTATGAATATCTTTTTTTTTTTCATTGTTGTTTCAGATAGTTTTTAATAAGTAGGTTATAACTATTGCTATTTCTAGCATACAAAATAACATGTCTCTTTCATAAGCAGATTATGAATATCTTTTTTTTTTTCATTGTTGTTTCAGATAGATGCCTCATGCCTTACATGGGAAGGACTACAATTTCAGGGCAAAGCAGCTATTGTTGAAAAACTCTCAGTAAGTTTCTGTTATGTTGTGGTCCTGATGTTCAGCCTGAGCATACATAAGACATCTCCCCCTGCAAAGTTTAGGGCCTGCCTGACCTGTACTGTGAAATAAATGTCACTTTGCAAGTCAGCTTCCAGGCTTTTTTTGGGGGGTGGTGGTGATGTATTTTAAACTTTTTATAGTATCTTTTGTGTGTACTCCCAACATAACACAGTTCCTCCCTCTTGGTTCAGATCTGTTTGAAACTTTCTGCCATCGGGGTTTCACTAAGATCTTTTTAAACATCTTATTCAAACAACACGTGGGCCACCTGGAGGCATATTACTTTACCTTTCCCCAGTGCCCACATCAGTTGAGAATTTTGGGAGTCATGCCAACCTACCTGAAAATGCTTGCTTACATTATTTACTAGGCATGCTGTAGGAATTATCAGAACAGGTAAAAGTCTGGGTTGGGAAGAAGATTGGTCACTTGGCAGAAAGGTGCAAACATTTGCCATGAGCAGCAAAATTATTAAGTCTGATGAATGCTGTCGGCTTATATACTTTTCATATGTTATTTTAAGCAAAATATGGTTTAGCTGTTGAAATGTAGGATTTTGAATTTTCTATATTCATTACAGTGTGCTTTCCAAAGCTTGTTCATAAACAGGAGACCTCTGACATGCTGCTATAGTCTTTGTGTAAAAAATAGTAGAAAGTATGCCCTTAAACCCATTGATTTCAATAGCTTAAGAATGATTTACCTATCATGTGACCTCAGTATTTGTGAGCCAGACTTCTGATATATCTGAAACAAGGACTTGATTCCTAATATGCTTCACTGCTTAAGTTGAGTTGACAACATTTGAGACATGAAGGCCATAATACAGCTTTGTGATCAACCACAGGACACCTTCTAGTGAGGTTATGACATTACTGGAGGGAAGGGTCAGATTTTTATTTTTTATTTTTTTTGTGGAGAGGGATTTTAAGGGTGGGGAAGGGAACACAAGACCTCCCAGAGGTGAATTGCTTTCATTTCCATCCTGAGAAATGATCCAAAACTTACAAGATGAATGGAAACTGCTCCACTATATTTTACAATATTGCTGCCAGATTTTCACAAGACATTTTTGGAATGGGGCTACATGCAGGCCATGGTTTACCTACTCTTGGCTTAATTGATCTTTATCTTCTGGATGTAGTAACCTTAATGTTTTCATCTAAAGCTATCTCCTGTAACTGAGCACCATTTTTTCATGGCATGCTATCATCACTTTGGTTTTTTATTTAAATGTACAAAGGAGAAATCTACCACAGATTTGAATAGTCTTTCCCAAGGTAAAGGAGTGCCATTTTACCCCATGAACTTCTGAATTTCAGGTACAGGTAATCCTCACTTAATGGCGGTAATTGGGACTGGAATTTCCATTGCTAAGTGACATGGTCACAAAGCATGGCATTGTGTGACTGCACTGCTTAATTATGGAAATTCCAGCCATTCTGGTTGCCATCGTTAAGTGAATCACCATGGGTCGTTAAGCGAGGATGTCATGTAGTCACCATTTGTGACTTCCTGCCAGCCTCACCATTGACTTGGCTTGTCGGAAGCCAGCAAAGAAAGTCACAAATGGCGATCCCATGACCATGGGAATGCTGCCACTGATGTAAGTATGAGGACCGTTCATAAGTACCACTCATTCAGCACCACCGTAAGTGTGAATGGTCACTGAATGAGTGGCTATTAAAGGAGAACCACCTGTAGACCCCTCTGTGTTTCTCCTTTCTCTTGCAGAGCCTTCCTTTTCAGAAAATACAGCACAGCATTACATCCCAAGATCATCAGCCTACTCCGGACAGCTGTATACTCAGTATGGTAGTTGGACAACTTAAAGTAAGTCTGTTTTCAGCCTTGGGTTGCATGGAAGAAATATTTAGAACAGCTTTTCCTAATCTGGGTGCTCTCCAGATGGGTGAATTTCAGTTTCCAATTCTCCACCCAGTATTGTGAGAGTTCTGAACGTCACCCTGGTTGGAAATGTTAATTTAGAGCACTAGTCAAGAATCTGTTCTCCACTGCCTGCTTATAATAGCCTAGTAGAACTTTGATAGCTATAGTGTAAGCTAGCCTTAACGTCTCAGGACAACATCGCAGATGAGCTAGTCCACTTTTGATTAGGTCAATAAAGCTGAATGCACAAACCCAACTCTTAAACAACAGTGGTTCTTCTTCATAGCAATTACTGTAATTTCTCTTCCTCTGTGCATAACATACAATTAGGGCAAATTAGAACAGGGTGCAAAGACTGTCTGTGGTGACTGGTAGGAAGGAACCAAAGTAATAATCTTTTTATTGCAACCAATTGAAAAGCAGGGCCAGAACTATTTGCAAACAATTCTGACACTCTTTAACTGAAGAACTTAAATGAGAGTCTCCTAAGAAGCCATGTGCAAAGAGTCCTGTTGTCCCATGGTGACGGATCAGGCAGAGTTGAGATGATTCCCAGTAACCTAAGACTGCTGAACAACATAAAATGGGGCACAGCATAATACACTAGAAACAAGCCTAATGCAAAATGGTAGATAAGGAGGACACGTACTGAATCCAACAAGACATACAGTGGAATTGCCTATACAGGTAGTCCTCAACTTATGACCATTCATTCAGCAACTATTCAAAGTTACAAATGCGCTGAAAAAAGTGACTTACGACTGGTGCCCGAAGTTAGGCTGTTGCAGTGCCCCCACAATCACATGATCAAAATTTGGACGCTTGGCAGCCCACCCACACTTAGGACCACACGGGTGCTTCAATTCTCCCCACCCACCTATCTCCCCCCTATTTATGTCCTCTTGGCCCCCTGCCGCCTGTGCTCCGCCGCCCCAGCTGACCTTCATCAACTTCTTGCTCCTAAAAGCCCCTTTGCAAAAAGCTCCTGGGCAGGGCTGGGCTTTTGCTTCGTGCTGTGAAAAAAACAAAACAAAAAGCCTTTATCTATTAATAGTAAAAGCAGAACCATATTAATTCTATGATAAAAGCATATGCATTTTTGTCAGACGTTTCAGATTCAGTCTGTTTAAGGGCTCACGTAGAAGGATTGGGACAAGATTTTAAAAGTCTGCCAGGCACATAGACCGCACTGGGCTGGCAGGATTATTTAGTTGGCTTTGTAAATAACAGCTTCATCACTCATGCTCATATCATCTCTTGGTTGGATTACAATTCACTTGATATGGGGCTGCCCTGGAAGACCATGTAGAAACTGCACTGTCTGGGCAGCTGTGATACAGCCATGTCACACCAGTGCTACAGCAGCTGCATTAGTTGCCAGTTTGCTCTTGAGTGCTATTCAAGGTGCTGGTTGCTGTCTTTAAAACCTTACAGGTAGTCTTCACTTAGTGATCACAGTTGGGACCAGCAACTCTGTCACTAAGTGCTGCAGTCACTAAGGAGAACATCATGTGACCGCAACAGACTTACAATATCACTTCCCATTTTAGTTGTTAAGCAAGTCACCGCAGTAGTTAGGCAAGACATCACTTGACTGCGACTTGCAGTTTTACTTCCATGCTCTCCATTAACTCTGCTTGTCAGAAGCCAGTTGTGACGCATACAAATGGCGATCACGTGACACTGGGACACTGCAAAACCTTTTTTTTTTTTTAAACAACTGATGTAACTTCAAACAATCATTAAACAAGGCAGTCAGTAAGTGAGGACTACCTGTATGTGTTTTGAGGACCTGGGTATTTAAAAGATTGGTTTTCCCAAATAGATTCTGCCCATCTGGTTGGGATGATCAGAGAATGCCTGCTGAAGGTCCCCTCTTGTGAGGAGATGTGGCATGAGGGAGGATATGGTGGGCATTCTCTGGAGGAGCTCCTTTGGAACAGCTTCTACCTGAAGAGAGGATTTTCACTCTCACAGGCTTCCAGAAATTGGTGAAACTGACTATTCTGGAAGGCCTTTGATAATTGTTGTATGTGGGGCTGTTAGCACTAATCTTAATTTTGGTTTCATATTAGGATTATTGTTCTTATATTGTAAACTCTTTTTAATACCCGTAGAATCTACTTGGATTCAGGCAACAGATAAATATTATAAGCAAAGAAACATAAAATCTGCTCTAAACTTTACAGCTGGGCCATTCTTTTTTAACGGTTTTGGTTATCTGGAGAAGTGACTTTTTTGTAAGCACTTCCAAGACCTACCCTGAATAAAGTAACATGATTCATCTGCTCTTAATAAGAAAACATTAATGGGAGAGTGCAGCTTATAACTAGCTATAAATATTATGAGTCATACTGAACTCCGTTGTGTCTTAGCGGTTTATCTTGCCCCTACTGCCTCCTTACAGTGCCTTCTGAATATTCAGCAAGAGCAGAAAACCCTGTAGATGTTGATAAGGGCCATTTTGGCATATTCTATGAAAGTGCCATAAATATATCCCTGACAGAATTTTGCCAAGATACTGGCATTTGGTATATTCAGATCATAACACTCAGTAACAATTTTTCTCCTGTCCTGCTCAGGCAGATGATGACCAAATTCTAGGTTTCCATCAGACCTTTTTGTTGAAAAACTTACAAGGTGCCTGGGTATGCACCAATGAAGTCTTCAGGCTAGCACTCCACAATGTTTAGCCTTCTGGCCGCCTCATACTCTGATCTTCGCTGCCCCTCGCTGAGTAAGAAGCATTCTGCTTGTTCCTGTGCCCCACTTGATCTCGCAACAGCATGAACGTTGCTTGTGTGTTATCCAAGGAGGGTTGCAGAACGAGAGTGTGGATTGCTTCAGGTTTATGACTCCTGAAATGAGGAGGGGTGACGTTTTCTCTGCAGAAGTAGCTGCCAAATAGTTAATTTAGTGTTTTAATACCAGTCAGTTGCTTGCTTAACACCTCTCGGATATAGCACTGCTTAAAACTCTGGAACATTTGAGTGGCACACCATGACTGCTCGCCTTGTTTTGTTTGAAAACCGTCTGCATTCAGGCCTGTAGGTGCATCTGTGCAGCTTGTCTCCTACATCAGGGAGAGGTCTCAGGGCTGAGGGCAGTTCACAGTTTAATCCATTGTGAGCATGCGGTTCATAAATAGAAAGTCGTCTCAGCTGCAAGAAGCTTGGTATATTACTATAGTGATGGGGAAGAGGGATACCAAATGAAGTAAAAAAATCAGAGTGGGCAAACACAATTGTACCCACTGTGCTTTCTCTCGGTTAAGGAGGATTAAAGGATTAGACGAAAGGCGTCACAGAAAAGGTGGGCTTAAAGAACGGATCTGGCCTGGAGTTTTCAAAATGCAACAGTGGAAAGGGTCTTGGAATGTGCAGTTCTACCATGTCTTACTCTGCAGACCCCCACTTTGGGTGCCGAGAGAAACAAATGGTACATTTTTTATTGCAAAAGGATTGTTTGTTAGCAAACGTTCTTATATCCTTCCTCCATGGTTCTGTGTTGGCTTTCCCTAACTTGGTACTATCCAAATATATTGGACTACTATTCCCAGCCAACATGGTACGCTAGCTGGGAACTCTAAGATATCAAGATGTTTCTGTGAAGCTACTTCTTAGGTTTTGCCTCCAGAAATGGAGTTCCGTGCAGTGTTTATGTGGCATGAATAGGCATGCACTTGTAAGGATTGTCTCAGATTGCAGATCTGGCTCTCTATATTCTTTTTGAAATTGAAGATTTTTATCAGGCCAGCACAGATGTTCCCTTTTCCTATTCCAGGATGCAAATTAGTTTGGGTTACTCTGCCCATTGCTGTACAACATGCTGGCCATAGCCCTGGTTCCTTCTTATCTTTACCAAAGAATATTTAACATGTAGATCTACTTGACCTGTTGTGCTAAGCCACAGTTTCTTTAACCATAATTAATTGAATAGGCTGGAGTTGGTTGAGTTCATACCCTACTAAGCCACAAATATGGTTTATATGCAATGACTGGGTTTACAATGCACACAGGCATTAAGAGTTAATACAATGTGCAAACCCAGCCTTAGTCTCGTAACGCAATGTATCTCAGCTTTTTAATAACAGCTACAGTATAACCTTGTTTTAACAGACTAATTGGGGGAATGTCCATTGTTCGAAAATGTCCGTAATATTAGAGAGTAGATTATTGCAGAGATTTATGTCGTTTGCGTGATGACATCATTACACTAGATCAGCGTTTCTCAACTTTGGGAACTTTAACATGTGTGGACTTCAGCTCCCAGAATTCCCCAGCCAGCATGCTGGCTAGGGGATTCTGGGAGTTGATGTCCACACAGGTTGAGAAACACTGGTCTAGACTGAAATTTGGTCCATTGCATGTGAAATCCATTGTATCAAGTTCCAAGTAAATCAAAGTCTTGCTTGTTTGGTGATACCGTGAAACCAAAAGTATTATGTTTGATAGAAACAAAGGCAGTAAATGCAGTTTATTTCTGTGATGACCATATGAGAAGACAATACTTCCACCTTAGGTGTTCATAAAAATATCATCAGACCTCAGGATCAGGAAGAAGTCTTCCATGTTTTATAACTGAAAGTGAAACTATACTTCATTATCCAAATTTAAGTTTATACTCTCAGATAAATATAGGCCTTTTTCCTCAGACTATTTTTAAGTCACTTTTTAAATACAAAGAAGTATAGCTACATATAAGTACAGCTTTTATTTGGAGGGCAATACTTATTGATGCTTTCAGAGGCTAGTGCCCTCCAGATGTGTCGGGACTGCCACTGGCTTTGGCTATCCTGGCTGAGAATTTTGGGAGCTGTCATCTGGAGAACACTAAGTTGGGGAAGGTTGAGTTATTACTATAGCAGTCAGGAACTGCACCTAAGTATTTAATTTAATTATTCATGACATTCTGCATCATCATGACTAAAAAATGCATGTTGTGGTCTTGCACAGAGATAAAAATGACAAATTTTAGCTTCTGTCAAAAAGAATTGCTGATCAGGCAAGAAGTATGCATGACAACATTTGACACCAGTTGTAGGAATTTTGTGTAATGCTCAAAAACATCTAAATGTTCATTTTTAATTTGTCTTTGCAGGCTGATGAAGATCCTGTTATTGGATTCCACCAGATATTTCTATTAAAGAACATCAATGATGCTTGGGTTTGCACCAATGACATGTTCAGGCTAGCATTGCACAACTATGGTTGAAATGGCATCCCTAAGGCATCTGTCTTTTTTTTTCTCCTCTCCTTCTTACAAATATTAATCACACCCATGGAACATTCCAAATATCATACACAAATCTGCACACCATGGCAAGCAAGCAAGACTTGTGACATACCCTTCCGAAGAGTTTTATGTTGTGTCACTAGAAGAGTTCCTTGTGCATGATGTTTGGAAGTTAGACTTAGCTGCATTTGACAAAGGAAGGGTATGTTTTACCAGCATGCCTTGGGAAGAATCCATAATACAAATGGTTCTGTTTCTGTACTGACAAGTTTCTCTAATAACCCAAAGAAACAAAAGGATATTAAAGAATAGCCAGCCTGAAGCCAGCTCAGATAATTGATTTTTTTTTTTTGTTCACATGTTTCAGTGCTACATTATACAATAAAACCATGTGATTTTCTTAACAGTTTAAATTGTTGAATGTTCAGTCTGTAAATGAAGAGTCTTGTATTTCCAACTCTGTGTCTGAATTCTTAGCTTTGGGAAGATGTGGCTGGACATAAGTTTAAAGTTCTTAAATTTCCACGTATGCTTTGTGCTACCATTTGCTTTTATTCAAAAGCTTACATGAATTTGTTGCTGAATAATGGCTTCGAACCTGAAACAGGAAGTCTTACCTCTCCCTGAAAATCATAACGTGGATTTATATTAACTACATGTGCATCGGTTTATTATATTGAACCTCAAATCATTTTTTCCATTCTATAATGCAGATATAGATAAAAGACTGTGCAGAAGAGCAACAATGCGCATGTGCTTATTTTCAGGCTTGTTTCTCCACATTAACCTTTCCTGGTTGGCATCTTTATATCATTCTACTTTTGATACACAAAAGCTGAGTCAGGATAGCATTCAGCATCTTCAGGGCACCAGTTTTAAAATGAGCTGTTACTTTGGTCCAGACCAGTGGAACCACATCCCATTCGATGATTGTCTGTGGCTTATTTTGATGTCCTGTGTGTCTGCTGTATTCTGGTTGCAATAAACAACAACCAGATGCCACCAGCAGCACCATTTTAATGGTTAACTTGGGTCACTATTTTAAAACTTTTTGAAGTACTATTTGCTGCAAAGCTGTTAAACTCAAAAGCTATGGAAAAATAGTGTATCTTCAAAATGGCCAGATTGTTCATCCAAGTGCTTAATATGAGCTGGGCAATCTTGAATCCACAGGCCTTATGCTATTTCGAGACTATTTTTCTACATTCTAAAATTAAGCAAGTTCCAAGCTGTGCTGGCAGTCAAGCTAACACACTAATAGTTCAAAATGCTAACAAGTAGAAAAAAAAAAAAAAAATGCATTTCTTAAATATTGTTCAATTTTGGAAGAACCGAGCTTGAATTTGTTAATTCAAGTCTGTGCCTATTAAGAAATGGCTGTTGTACACACCAACTGAATATTTTTTAAAAAATGCATTTTGAAGCTTATTATGATTTTAAAAAGTTAACATATAATGCTTCTGAATGTCCTGACTCTCCTAAGCATCATTTTAGGCTTCACTTCTCTGGATCTTAGGACTGATCCTTCTACCTCTTTTTTTTGTGTGTGTGTGGTTTTCATACCCAGAAGACTACTGGCATTCCCAACCGGCCATTAATTCTGGGAAGTGACAGCTCATATTCTAATCCTTGAATTGGATATATATGCCATCGGTATAGCTGCTCCATTACCAGGACCTCAGTTGAGATTAATCAGTCCAGGGCAGTGGGTCTTAAAAGTTACCATCTTTCTTAGTACTTATGTACAAGTTTAGTTGAGAACTAGTGATGTCAGTGGAATTTGCTTCCAGTACTGGAGCCTTCAAAGCAGGTGACAGAGGCAGAAATACTCTCTTTATGCAGAATTAGTGATGGGGAAAAGTTGATGTTTGCAGCTGATTTAGGTATCTCAGATAGCATCATCTTATTCAATATGACTAGTGAATGTTTAGAAGGATCGCATGGTATCATGTTTTGGCTTGGATATTGTATATGCCTTAATGGAGCAGTATGTAATAGCCATACATAAGCAAAATGCCTTAGAAAAATTCCTGGACTGCATTCATAGGAACACATTTTGCCTGAAGAGGCATTACTCTCTTTAGTTAAGCAGATGAGGAATGCCTTTTGTCATCCATAAGGAAGAAGTTTTTGTTTTTCCGCATGCAGTGAACTGTGGCTGCTTCCGCTTCCTGTTATTAGCACATGGCATTCTATTAAGAACTGTCCCTTTCCTAAGCGAATGTAAGATTTGCAGTTGGAGGCAGTTCAGATAGTCATTCTGAGAGCAAGAACGGGCTGCGTTCTTCCCTGGTTCAAGCTGGAGGAAAGAAAATTCGTCTAAACTATTTCTGCCTTATAATTGCATGCCAGAAGGGCAAAAAATATCCTGAAGACATTATTTGCTCCAAGAAAGGATAATAAAATATTTGGTCTGGGAATATGGATGACATGTAAATAGATTAAGGCTATTAAACTGCTCATTAAATAAACAGTGTTAAGTTCTTTCTATAAAAATGCTGAAAGTGATATTCTGTTGGGATATGTATACAGCGGATCTGTGTAGGTGTGACTCACCACGCTAACAACCCATCTACTGTATTTTGTGGCTCACCAGGTGCATTATATCTGTTTTTTGTAATTCTGGGCAAGTAACAGAAACAGGTTTTCAGGGCCCTGATAAGGTAAGTCATAAGCCCTAGAATTCCTCTCCCCTTCCCTTTTTTTCACTTTGATACAAAAATGCTCCCAAACTTTGCTACTATATTATTCAATTTGGCATCAGTTGACAGCCAAAAAAAAAAAAAATGTATTCAAGAACTGCTAAGTTTACACACCACTTAATGACAGATACTTGATGTACATGGTAAAGAAAGCAAACTTTGATATTGTGAATCTTGGTTTGCAGAGCATCACTAGTTTTACCAATAAATGTGCTGAAATTTTGTGGAGTAAGGTTATCTACCTTTTCCATTATGGGCTGTATAATCTTGGCTTGTTTAAGATTGTACCTGTGGCAAATGTACTAATAAAGATTCTATAACAAACATTCTTTTTTGTAAGGCTAAGCTTAGAAATTTAAGAAACAATGAAAATGAAGATAAGGATATGCTGGTGCTAAATAGCTATAGTGAAGCAATAGCCATGAAAAGGTGGACAGATGTACCATGTTAATTGGCAGTGGGTAAATTTTTGGGCCAGGTGTGCTGTGGAACCATAATCTTGTAGCTAATCTTTTTTTCTAGGGAGGAGGCAGTATTTATATAAACTATCATGGTACATCATTTATTTACAAGGGGTACACCCTTTTACCCACCATTTCAACTTTATAATTTGCTCAACCCTGACGAGTTGATATCCAGTGAGAGATAATCACTCTAAAAATTGCTCTCAAATTATCCCCTCTGAATTTTGTAGGGCCAAACGGTGCTTGCCAGCCAAAGAAACAATTTTGTATATTTCTGTAAGCAATGTATAGATTAGTAGAAAACTATTTCAAGTTAAAATAGATTTGCTTGGGTCTCTGCTGGTTTCCACGTTACATATGTTGTGATGCATAATAGGTAACTACATTATGCTAAAGTATAGCACCTTTTACACATATCATACGCTGAACAGTTTGACTTGTGATCCTTTTGGTGCAATAATAATGCATTGGAACCAATCAGAAGTAGGTGAAGACGGAATATTCATCCCTGCATCTGGGCAATCTCCAGGACAGCATTTCTTTTAGGAATCTTTTTACCTATAGAGGATTTGAGTCTGCCCAGGCAGAGATTCAGTTAGGAGATCATGAATGTGTAGAGAGTCACTGATTTATTTAGTTTAGTATTTTCTTCTCTAATTGGCACCTGCTCTTGGATAATACCTTTCCAAGGAAACTTCTCAAGCCTTTTAGCTCTGCAAAGGACTGGTTCTTAGGCTATATATATACATACACACACACACATATATATATACACACACACACATACACAAAGCACTGTACAATTGATTAATTATGTGCCATCAAGTTGTTGTCAACTCTTAGTGATCACATGGTTTTTCTCCATGATGATCTCTTCCTAACTTGGTCCGTCAGCTCTTCCAATGGCGCTTCCATCACCACTGTAACAGAGTCCTTCCACCTTGCTGCTAGTTGTCCTCTTCTCTTTCTTTCCACCTTTCCCAGCAATAGAGCCTTCTCCAGAGAGCTAGGTGTTCACATAATGTGTCCGAAGTAGGATGTTATGGGCAAGTATCATAAAGTCCTACCTCAGACTGTACTATACTTTTCCTTCTAGACTGATTCCAACTCAAACAGCAGTGTGTGTTCCCAAGTAGTTTCTATGCAACCTTGCACACGCACAAGAAATACATTGAAAAATGAATAAGGTGGCCAGCTTTCAGTATTTCACAGCTCTCATTTATCATAGGAACCATTACTGTATTTGTTGCAAAGACTTGTAGATATACATATGACAAAGCTAATCTTTCTCTAAGGACTTAAAATCTCATTCTGTAGGACCTACAGATATCTGTCTGTAAGTAATATAGAGACTTGATTACTGGAACAGTCTAGATCCACAATGAGGCTACTGGCTCTACCTTTCTACGAGAGAAGCTGCATAGAACTACAGTATGGAAGTTTCTCCTTTTATTTTCATATAATTTTTATAGGCTTCGGGCTTGCAAAAAGACAGCAGATACTCATTTGCCATGATCAGATATGCTTATATTTCTTTTTTCTACGGAGAGAGAAAATATAGACTATTTTCTAGAGTGTCTAATGAGAGGTATCACATCACTGAAACGGCGCGTTAAGGGTGGCTGCTAAGCACACAATTCCTTAAGCAGCACGACTTTTACAGGCTCCTCAAACGTTTACGGGGCAGCCCTGTGCACATTTAGAAGTAAGGATCCCTGTACTTGGTGGTTTACTCCGTAATCAGTTTGGAACCCACAGCCTCATAATTCTGTTGAGAGGAATTTCGGTAGGACTGGTTGCTCTGAAAACGCAACGTGTCATTGGTGAAGGTGGGATGGGATGGGATGGGGGAACCTGTTCACATCTTGTATAAGGCTGTATATACACACACACATACATACATAGGCACACTATCTGTCTATCCGTGGAACATCTGTATTTTCGTCTGATGCATCCCAAAGGCATGTCCGCAATAAGAGAGAACGAGGCTTTCGAAAGGACGCCTCCCTGCATTCAAGCAAGGCTCACTCACCAGCAGGGATACGTCCGCTGTCGCTTTTTAGGGCCCAAAGAAACCCCAGCTATGGAACGCCCGAGGGGGACGACGACGACGACGCGCTTCCCCTTCGCCCATTTTTCTACACGGCCGTTCGGCCGCTCGAAGCGCTTTCCGGTAAGTACCCCTTGCGACGCTGGAATCCGGGCGCCGGGGCGCCGTTTGCGACGGGACGAGAAGGCCGCCGGGCCGGAAGCGGAAGTGGGGGCGGCGAGTCGAGCTCGGCCTGTCTGGGCGGCAGGCGGGCGTGAGAGGCGGCTTCGGCCTTGGCGGGGCCCGATGGCCTCCGCTAGCATTGATATCGAGGACGCGACTCAGCACCTGCGCGACATCCTCAAGCTGGATCGGCCGGGCGGTGAGACGTGGCGGGGGTCTTGGGCGGTGGCCCCGCGGAACTTCGGGCGGGGTCTGGTGTTTGGCGGGGCCGCTTGGGGTCGGGGGCGGAGGGCAGCGCGAGCGCCCGGGCCGGACTTCCTTCCTCCCGGCTCTGCCGCCTGGGCGACCCTGAGGCGGTGACGCTGTCCGGAGAGGCGAGGGGAGGGAAGAGAAGCAGCGTCTCCCCAACCCGGCGCCCTGCAGGGGAGTCGGGCCGCCGCTTCCCTCCTCGCCACTGGCCCATCTGAAGGGCCCCGGGTGGCGGGCAAGCTGAGGCAAAGGCTGGCGCTGGAGGTTGTAATATCCTGTGCCTTTGCTTGGGAGCAAATCCTCTTGAAGGAGGTGGGACTGACTTCAGTCCTATCCGAAGTGGCTAACGGTGTAATAGGCTGCTATCCTGTGCAAACTGAACACAGCGGGGTAAATCCTAATGCATCTAAGACTTTGTTTGTTTGTTTTTTTAAGGGGGGAGAGATCTCATTGAATAAAAAGTATCCATATATTACTTACTTTTGTGTTATCTTGGATATTAGTTGCTGTACAGAATACAGTGCACAGTGTTCAGGTTTCTTTGATAGATGTTCGCTGTATGTAATCTGTTTTTTCTGTTTTACTGTTTTCCGTAACATCGGTTTTTTTGCGTTTCTCTAATCCTCTAGATCAACGTTTCTCAACCTTGGCTCTTTTAAGATGTGTGGACTTCAACTCCCAGAATTCCCCAGCCAGCATGCTGGGGAATTCTGGGAGTCAAAGTCCATACATCTTAACATGGCTAAGGTTGAGAAACACTGTTCTAGATAAAGCAGATCATCAGCTTGGCTTTGGCTGTTCTGGGTTCTTGAGGCTTTCTCCTTGTTTCCCCCTTGTAGTGGGGTGGAGACTGATACCTCTGATGCTGATGCTCATAAAGCTGTTTAGAGGCCAAGTATTGTAAACAATGTCTGGTTAACCAAGCTGTTCAAGTTGGCTCTGCAATCAGGCAATCAGCTATTGAACATATCTGCTTATGTTTCTCAGCAGTAAATGCCTGACTTAGCAGCATTGCAGTTTCTTTCATTTCCTTGATTGATAGTCTATCTATTTATTTACAGTCCAAGACCAAGTCACAAAATTTTAAATATAGCACACCATTAATACTTACATAATAATACATGCATATATAAGAGGAAGAAACCCTATAAAATTAGCAATTCATTGGCGGTACCAAATAGTTTCTTTAAGTTAAGGCTATAGATAAAAATGTTGCTACTGCCTTCGAAACACCCGGGTATTGGGTATGAGAGTACAGTGGGCACTTGCAAAGGATGTGTGAAACAGACTCAATCTCTGTGTTTGAGTAAATACATACTCAATCTTCATATGAAAGTTTGGCATATCGACCAGCTATCACCCTAGTAGGAAGAGGATCTGTACAGGCTAGGGAGAAGACCCTTCTATGTGGGGCATACAGAATCTTATAGAAGCAATTGGGGAGTGCCCAAGGGGGTAGAGCAATTTGTCTGTAAGGGAGTTGGGAAAGTTTGGCTCTGTCTACCTGAATGTCTAAATCCCATACTCTCTGCTTAAGTTCTACCAAGGTTTTTTCTAGGCCCAAAGCAAGTAGGGCTGGTACAGACAGTCCACATTGTCTCAGATCTTGGTCTATTTGTTTTTTTCAGAGCAGACTGATGTATATCATATGGAATGTGATGTACCAGTGAGGTTTCCTGGCATTGTTGTGCCCAGAATCTTAGCCAACATAATCTTGCCCGGGCCTCGAATGAGATGCAGCCTAGCTCTAATCTGGTGATGGCATTAGAAGTTGAGTAAGGAATATGTGCTATTGATTTTAAGAATTTTGTTTGTATTTATTCAAGAACTGAAAAAGTTTTGTAAATACACATCTGAGATCCATACGGCATCACTTTCGCATTGAATAATTTAATTGCTGCAGGGACAAAGATGTTCTCCCGCCAGCTAGCAAATTTGTTGATCGCTAGAGATACTTTTTGAGTTTTCGTAGCTAACTCTCATATTTGATGACCCCAGCATGTAAAAGGTTGAAAGTAAATACCTAGGTATTTAAATGATTTCACCTGCTCGATGGGTCTGCTCGATGGATTATCAGAGTGTCTTCTGGAAAAGACCAAAACTTTTGTTTTTTGGTAGTTTATTTCAAGGCATTCTTTAGCACAGTACCTTGAAAGCTCCTGAAGACCTCTACATAGCCCAACATTTGAAACTGCGTGCAGAAGAATTTATATTGGATGATGAGAGAGGGATGGAGAATGGAGTTCTAAATTGGCAAAAGCTACCACCATATCATTTATGTAAAGGTTAAACAATAGGGGGACTAATATGCATCCTTGCTTAACCCCTTTATGAGTGGGGATAGGCTCTGTTACATCTCCAAAATGAGTATCTTTAACCT